GATCTCTCTCTCTCTCTCTCTCTCTCTCTCTATATATATATATATAGAGAGAGAGAGAGAGAGAGAGAATGTAATAGTAGTTTAAACAAGTTAGTACAGTTGCCTCGCTTGTATATTCAAGTGCTGCAGTTGCTCTAACGTTTTGCTGCCTGAGTTTCCACTGTTTGTTTTTTTGATAATGTGGTTCTAGGAGTCAGAAGGCCAGATTCTCAGTTGTGTGATATGATTTACATGCTATCATTGCTTTTATCTCATGATTTTGGTGCACAATATCTATGTTCAGGGATCAAACTATTGGGGGGAGGGAGGAAGGAGGAGGAAATATTGGTATTTTACCTAGGTTTGCCCACAAATGGAACTCTTCCCACTTTACAGTATATTCTGTAAATGTTCAAAACAGGATCATGAGTCCTCAGCTGAGCTCCCCATTGGTGGACTCCTTGGGCTTGGCTTCCTCTGAAAAGGATTCAAATAAATGCATGGACTCTGCTGGACTGTCTGGGCTTGACTCCACCTCAGTGGGTATTTGATGTCCCTAGGTTCCTTGGGCTTGACGTCTTAATTGGACAGAAATGGTAGGACTCTAAGCATCAACACTAATGGTGCCAAAATGAGATATCACTTCTAGTAACTTGGGCAGATGTTCATAATATAAGTTTTTTGATTTCTTATATGCTTTGATCAGCAATGAGACAGTTAATATTGGTTTTTAAACTGTCATTGGACATCTGCCTTAATACCTCATTGAAATTAACTGGAATTGTTCACACTTTTCAGAACTATTGTTTCAGGCTTTCTGCAAACTCAGGGAGAATTTGTTTTTTTCAGTTACACTTGATTCATGTTTTGAAGATTTTCTTCACAACTGTAAGGCCTAGGGATCTTTTCTTAATAAAATTTTAGATTGTGGAGCACAAGGTGGCAGTTCTGGAGAGATGAATGTACATAGCATATCTATATCATAATTTGATCCATCTCTGTGCTGTTTAATTTGCATGAAAAATGTGCATAACTAACTTTAAAATGTACAAGTCATTTGTTAGGAAACTGAAAGTTTGGCATTAAACATTGAAAAATAAATACATATTAACAGAATGTGAAAGCAAAAATGTCCAGCTGGTACACTTTTAGAAGTTTTAAAATCCATATTTTTTTAATTACTATAGTATGGAGGCAGGAGGAGATTGAGCGCATTAACAACACTCTCACTGGAGCAGAAAGAAAGGCAGCCCTCTGTGCACTTCTAGAACAAGAGACACAGCTGATTGCTTCCATTGGGAGACACAAACTAAATGCAGATGAAGAGAACCAGCAAAAAGCAATACTGTTCTTTTTGGATAAGGTCAGTGAAGTAATTGCAGTCTGAACATGAATGTACCCAAAGTTCAAAAACCTAATATCATTTACAAACTAGCAGACAAAAGTAAACCACTGTAACTAGCTTGACCAGTTATGCATAGTGCAGACATTCGCATGTTTGTCAGAGAATAGAATTGCCTCATTAGTTACAGTTTTTAAGTCTTTATTCATGTTGGTACAATTTAATGAACACTTCATTTTCTCCAAGCACAGAGTTCAAGCTGCCACTTACTTCATAGCTTATCTAGTTATTTGAAGAGATATGAGAACAATGCATCATGTAACCTACCATCTGTGCTTCACTCTAGGCACAGCAAGATATAAGTATATTATAATAATGACATTAACTCTGAGTTGATGAATTTTGCCTTATAAGAATATTCTGCATAAAGGACCTAATTCTGCTCTTAGACATCAGTGATACTAAGTCAGGCCCTAACAGAATGCATATAATTTTAGAGCTGACACAGGGTGTCAGGATAATGTGTGCTATTTTAGTTTTTGCACAGTACAGTATAAGTTATTATCATGTAGGAACCCATACATGAAAAGTAGTTACTTTAAATGCATTATCTTTTTTTGAAACTTTAAATAACTCTGCCAATTAATTTCTCTCTCCAAAATACCCAGTGTCACTAATCAAAACTAATGAATAAGCGCTTGATCCTGCCTTCTGATATACTGTATGAGCTACTGTGTATCTTGAAAAATCAGTTACTGCATTTTGTCAAAACGTGCCTTAGGTGCCTCTAAAATTTCATTTTGTTTGCTGGGTAGGGGTGTGTGTGTGTGTTTGTGTGTAAGCATAAGACAAAGAACAAAGGTTGCCAGGTGTCCGGTTTTCGACCAAAAAGTCCAGTCAAAAAGGGACCTGTACAGTGTCCAGTCAGGTGTAGGGACACCAAAAGTCCAGTTACTACAGGTGTGCGTGCAGGAGGTGTGTGGGGGGTAGGCACAGGATCATCAACCTGTGCCAGCCCCTGCTCAGAGAGGGCCACCTCGTACCTGTCTCTCATGGGCAGGCAGGCTCCAGGTCAGGAGCTGCAGCTCCCATCCCAGCCCCAGAGCAGAGGGAGCCCAGATGAGGGAGGGAGGTGGAGAGGATCGAGTGATGAGGAAGTGTGGGCGGGGGAGAGGAGCAAGCAGGGGGTGGGGGCTGGAGGAAGAGGTGGAGAAGGGGCAGGGCCTCAAGAGAAGAGGTGAAGCAGGTGGCAGGGCCTCGGGGGGAAGAGGTGGGGCAGGTTCTGGCACTCCTGCTGTAGTGCCCTGTTTTCAGAAAATAGAAAGTTGACAACCCTACAAAGAACTGGCCAAACCAATTTAAATGAAATGTTTGGCGGGGGGGTGGGGGGGAGCAAATAAAATGTATTTGGAGTGGGGCACTGAATGGCAAATTTCAGCATCAAGCAAATTAAAATGACAAAATTATAAATTCCTCAAAAACAAGGTTGATAGTGGAATTTGAAACTCCAAAGTGACCTATACACTTTTTTTTTTTCAAAAATGACTATTGGATGCATTTAACAATCAGCAAATTTATTATATAGTGATGTCTCCTTTTTCTCTTCACTTAAGTTCCCATCATGCTGGTTAACTAAATAAAAAACAAATGTCCTTCATATAAGATACTTGGTTCTGAGCTGTTCACAGTATCTGTAAGACTTCTTGTAGTAAAAATAAAGAAACAAATCTACAGAGCCAGATGTGTACCCAGAAGCCTCCTCCTACAA